CTCAATTTTAAAGCTTTTATTTAAAATATTTAGCACTTTCATAATTTTTTATTTTAGTTCTCTTATAGTGGGTGGAAATTTGTCATCGATTTTTAACCTACTTCTTGTTAAGGTATCGAATTTAAATTATACGTACCTGCACTCTTCAAGATGACGATGCAATGCGGTAAAGTTATTTCTTTTTACAAATTTCGATTTAAAATTTTTAAATTTGATATGTAAACTATTTTTTGCACATACCTTCATTTAACGAATGAGCTAACAGAGATTTTTACTGTTTGCACCATCGAAAAGTTTTGAATGATGATGAAAGTGCAAAGATTCAAGTTGCGAATCTTTTCAAAAGATTCGAATGTCCTAATGTTAATGCATCAAGTAGTAGTGAACAGACACATACTCAATCTTTTTTACCCCCACATGATCCTATTTTCAAAATGGAAACTAAAATCACGGGTTGGATCCTGTAAAGGATATTAAATCCGAATCGTAAATGATCTTTATCACACTTCTATTAAAAAAACTTGCAGGCAATTTTTTACTCATTTTTTACTTTAAAAAAAAAAAAAAAAAAAAGATGTTATGCACAAATAAGCAGCTTCAAAAGGAATGGGAGTCTGATTTAATGAAAGTGATTTTTTAAAATTTGATTAGCTTTATGTGATTAATGAGATATTCGCCAAACCATTTTTCTCGTCCCTCAGAAGAAAAACCTTTAGTTTAATGATTATCCTGCACAACTTTTCTGTTATTTCATTATAATCATTATTCTAATCTATCGGAAAGCTTTGTTTATTAAAATAATCCTGTAATTTGTCTCGCCTTGTTTAAGTATCGGAATTCACTTTAAGAGTCAGTTAAGTATCTTCTAGAAGAAAGATCAGATGGCGACTCGTAAGACAGCATTAAGTGAATGATGGAAATATAAATAATTAGTCCTATTGCAGAGTTATTTAGGTAGTTATGAATTGCATGGTCCTTTTTAACTACATCAGGAAGTGAGATGAATAATGACTTCAAATTAAACGTTATTAGACATAAACTGAGAGCTAATTTAGGAGAATTCAAATCAAACATACGCTTTCACTAGTCTAATTGAAGCCGTAAATACTTGATAATTCGTTCTGAGTTTTATTCTAACTTCCGTATGTGTTATTTGTATGCGAATTTTGTAGTTTTCGCATAAACAGCATTTTTGTATAACTGGTTATTAGCACTATTTTCCTTTAATCTTACACGAAGGTATTTTTTTCCCTTTAGGCAGCATTTGTGCACTTGACAAAATTAAATAACTCAGTCAAACAATCAAGAAACTATTCGGATTCTACGAAGTGTAAGTGGATTCAGCGCCCATCAGCGACCGAGTAAAATCGTTGAACACTGGTAGTTCGATCCGAGGTTCGTATCTCGTCGAACGGGCTGATTGAATTAGTATTTTTGTGGTTTTCCTCATGTGTAATGTATACAGGATGTCCCAAAACGACCGCATAAACTCTGCACAGCTAGATTTCTCGTTGGGAGTACATAAAAACTGCCCAAGGAACGGTTCCTGTACGATCCATAGTTTACAAGAAAAATACAAAAAACAAAGTATGACGTCATTGCCGGTGCGAGAAAAAAACACTTTATTGGACATATCAACAACAGTATTGGCATATCTTTCCAGACGACAATGTTTAAAACGTTCGCCGCGCATATTGCGTCATGCATGCGCGCGCGCCGTGGAATGACGTTAAGCCGCCGTTGAACTGGTATTTAAAAGGCAGCATCTTGCAGCTACCGGTAGTACTAACACGGCATTTTATGACGCCGCTAAGGAGTGCCAACATATGGACATTTTCAACCTATTTCACTATGAAATTTTACACGAGGACAGGCACCTCCGTCCATATGCCGCTTTTCTACTCGGTGGAAACCAGGATTTTCCAACATAATTTGTGTTTTTAAGTATGTAGTACTCGAAAAACTTATTTCACTTGTAAATAATGATGTTTAGAAATCCTAGCCGGATGATCATGTGACACACACAGTCCACGCCCACAAGATATTACTTAATTTTTCCTGTATATACTATTTTACTTTTTGGAATCGTATTTTATTTCTGCATTTATGACTGCAACACACACCTTTATGAACTGATTTAGTACTATTTTATGTATAACTATTGTAAAACTTCAGATTTACAGCGCTACGATGCCTGGATACTTCATCGCCAACCAGATGTCTTATCGCTCATCATGTGACATTGGTCACACCCCCTGCATCTGCTATCCTGTCTCCACGAGAACTACGTTCGGCATTTCCTTACCTGCAGCGCTCCTAGAAGCACCAAAGTTCGATAGCCGGAACACAACCTGCGATTTCGCAGGTTAATCGCGGCAAATAAAGCAAGTTGGAGTTGGAGCTACCGGTAGTCTTCGTATGGTGGCCATGTATTCCGTTCGTGACTACTGCGACATGTACTTGGTGTACGACTGATGTAATGGAAATGCCTTACGAACTGCTAGGGAGTATGCCCGTCGATATTTGTCCCGCCGTCCTCCCGATGTCAACGTCATCCGTAGGCTGGACGACAGACTACGAAATACGGCAAACGTCTTGCCAATCTTCACGATCAGCAATTCTTCAACAGCCAATCTTCACGATACTAGAAGACCGCGGAGCGCCCTGATGATAGCATAGGCGGATGCAACACTGCAGCGGGTAGAAGAGACGCCCTAGATAAGCACACGCGCACTAGCTCGTGAGATGACTTCGAGTAAAAGTACTGTGCACATGCTTGTACGGTCTGAGAGGCTACACCGATTTCGGTACGCAACTGTGCAAGGTCTGAAACCAGATGACTTTCAGAAACGCGTGGCCTTCTGTGAATGGCTGTTGCAGCAACAGAACACAGATAATAGTTTCATTGCACATATGCTGTGAACCGATGAATTATGTTTCACTCATGATGGGGTATTCAGCCATATGTGGTCCCAGGTCAATCCGGCTGCAGAAACATCAGGAACGTTGGTCTCTTAACGTGTGGGCCGGCATACTCGGGGATCGCCTGCTTGGACCATATCTGTAGCCTGAATGGCTCTCAGGAAGTCGTACTTGGTATTTCGCAATGAGGTCTTAACCGAGTTCTTGATGACATACCATTAGCGGCAATACAGGGACTTTGGTTCCAGCATGATGGGGCTCCAGCGCATTTCTGTGCTCCTGTACGTGGTTGGCTGGATATGGAATACCCCGGCCGCTATGATAGCATAGGCGGATGCAACACTGCAGCGGGTAGAAGAGACGCCCTAGATAAGCACACGCGCACTAGCTCGTGAGATGACTTCGAGTAAAAGTACTGTGCACATGCTTGTACGGTCTGAGAGGCTACACTGATTTCGGTACACAACTGTGCAAGGTCTGAAACCAGATGACTTTCAGAAACGCGTGGCCTTCTGTGAATGGCTGTTGCAGCAACAGAACACAGATAATGGTTTCATTGCACATATCCTGTAGGCCGATGAATCATGTTTCACTTCGTGATGGGGTATTCAACCATCACAACAGCCATATGTGGTCCCAGGTCAATCCACATGCAATCCGGCCGCAGAAACATCAGGAACGTTGGTCTCCTTAACGTGTGGGCCGGCATACTCGGGGATCGCCTGCTTGGACCATATCTGTTGCCTGAACGGCTCTCTGGACAATCGTACTTGGTGTCTCTCAATGAGGTCTTAACCGAGTTCCTCGATGTCATACCATTAGCGGCAATACAGGGACTTTGGTTCCAGCATGATGGGGCTCCGGCACATTTCTGTGCTCCTGTACGTGGTTGGCTGGATATGGAATACCCCGGCCGCTGGATCGGACGTGGGGGTCCGGTTCTATGGCAGCCCGCCACGTTCGCCAGATCTTACACGTTTGGAATTTTTTCCTATGGGGCCATCTCAATTAACTGGTGTATCGAGACGTAGTGACAACACCAATGGACTTAGCTGCTCGTCTGCATGCTGCTTGTACTTCGGTGGACCCCGCGATGCTGCAACGTGTGATGACAGCCATTCCACGGCGTGCTCAAGCCTGCCTCGACAAGCACGGCGGACACTTTGAACATCTGCTTTAAATTGTGCGTATACTGCTGTTGATATGTTCAATAAAGTGTTTTTTCTTGTACCGGCAGTGACGTCATACTTTTTTTTCGTATTTTTCTCATAAATTATAGATCGTACAGGAACGCTTCTTTGGGCAGTTTTTATGTACTCTATACGAAGAATCTAGCTGTGCAGAGTTTATGTGGTAGTTTTGGAACACCCTGTATACGAGCCAATTTGCCTTAGAAAGACCTCCACGAAGGTATTCCTCCCCTTAGGTAGATAGCTCGAGTATGCTTTGCCATAATAGACTAAACCAAAACAGATTCGGAATGTACTGAAAGCAAAGAAATTCTATTTTTCTGTGTTTCATGTTTTCATTTATGTATATTTAAAATAAATAAAATATTTTTAGTTTAGTAAAGAAAACATAATGCTATACACAACAAAATTCATCAATATAATTTTAATTTAACGTCTATAGAATTTGAACAAAATGTTTAGTCGGTTACTTCGTTACGTAACGCCAGTATGACATTTATCAGTCATGGTCTCAGGTAAATTTTCGGGTTTAATCTTTTGATATGCACCATGCTAAATTAAAACAATTTGGAAATGGAAACGTATGCTATTATAGGCGTTGGTCACTACTAAGGCAGTAAGCGATGATCACTTTATTATGAAGGCACCTAATAATTGGCGGGCAACCTATGAGAGAACAGAGAATTTACATCCCTGCTAGGATTCGAACCCGGGCCATTCTGTACGGTAGTCAGGGTCACTACTCTTTCCCGTGTTGGCGGCTGAAATTTAAGTATAGGAGGTGTTAAAATGTTTCTCGTTTTACTTTTTTTAAATATGTAGAATGTGAACTTCAATCATTACATACTGAACTTGTTGTATGTACTCATATTTTTGTATTCTTTTTAGGAGAAAGCGTGGGACTGCCATAGGAAAGAATGTTACATTCTCAAGAAATTTATAGATAACCCTCCATCTTACTGTGATTTAGTTCTCCTTGTTTTGCGAGTTATTTTCAAACTGAAAGTAAGTTTTGCAAGGCTTCTCCTTATGAACATCGTATACGTAATTTTTTATCTAGAATTTCGTTCCATGCTTACCACTTTTGTTGTTGGGCATATGTAATTAATTAATCTGAGTTACTCTTCTATGACATTTTCCTCTAAATATTTTGATACATTCAATAGTACCTCGGTATACAGTAGTACCTCGGTATATGTCATTAATCCGTTTCACATTTCTGGACGTATAAAATAATCAAAAAAATCTTCTCCGATATACTAATCCCTAACGGCTTATCAGCTCAACCAATTGAAATGAAATTTCAGATATTATTATTTGAAGGTTGTGATATCATCCCTTTCTTCATCCACTGCCTCATAGAGAAACAACTCCACCTTCTTGTATTTTTAAACATTTATTTCACAAACACAAAACTAATACTAAACTACAATACTAATAACTGAAATATATAAAGTAATAAAAGTGAATTTCGGTTTCATTAATGGCTCCCACGAGCCTTCCGTATGACCTCTTTGTCGGTCTCCCTCTTGGAAACTAAAACTTTTGGCGCCTCTCCAGACTGAGAGTTAGCGCCCTCTATACATCTTGTTGGTTGGCGTCACCCATACATCACACCCCCCATCTAAGATTGAAATAGGGTGAAAGCCTATTGAAATATGACAAATTATGGTGACGTCAAACGAAAGTTACTTACCTACTAAAGTCTACAAATCAATCGATACTGAAGTTGAAAGATATATAACACAATACTTATACAGGTTAGTTCTACACCTACTACAAGACTTCTTCTAAAACTGTAATATATAAATGATTAAAAATTAGTATTCAAACAATTCTAATGCAATAGAATACTTAAAGCGTCTATGATATACTTAAAAGTCTCTAGGAGAGTAGCTGAAAAGAAACACACACATAAAAAAAATAATAATATTAAGAGTTCATAAATGTCTATGAAAAGTTCTTTCTTTCCACAAAGTCACTCAATAGTCTCTAGTCTGGACAACGCATCAGCATTGCTTAACTTAGCACCTGGGCAATGTGAAATTGTAGTATCATACTTTTGTAATGCTAAAGCCCATCTCTGTAACTTAGAAGATTGTGGTGCGTTCTTTGTGATGAAAGTTAACGGATTGTGATCAGTTATCAGTTCCACAGGTGATCCAAAAATCCAAGTTTCAAACTTTTTCAAGCTCCAAATAACAGCATAAGCTTCCCTCTCGATAGTTGGCCATGCTTGTTGTGTTTTGGTAAGTTTCTGGCTGGCGTAACTAATCGGGTACAACTTTCCGTTTTTCCTTTGAGATAAGCAGGCTCCAACACCTGTTGAAGATGCATCACATTGAATTATAAAAGGTAACCCTGGAACAGGGGTATAAAGACTAGGTGCTTCCATTAGGCATTTCTTTAATTTAATGAATGCTTCGTCGTGTTTTTTCTGTCCAGCACAGCTCTTCAGGACTTCTTCTTTTGGTGAGCTCGGTTAATGGATAAGCTGTTTCGGCGTAATGTGGAATGTAGTCTCTGTAATAATTACATAGGCCTAGAATGCTTTTCAATTGTTTTTTTGTTTGAGGTCTAGCTAATTTCTGGATAGCCTCCACTTTCTCTGGATCTGTACGATGACTGCCGGAACCGATGATATGTCCTAGATACTTAATATGAGTTTTAGCGAAGGAACATTTCTTGAGATTTACGGAAACTGTAGTTCTAACAGTTTTGAAAAAATGGTGTCAAGATGTACTAAATGTTCATTCCAATTATTTGAATAAACAGCTATGTCATCGACGTAGGCTCGAGCAAAATCTTTGTATTTAGCAAGGGCCTGGTTCATGACTCTCTGAAATGTTGCAGCGGCGTTGCGTAGCCCGAAAGGCATGACTTTAAATTGATACTGAGCTCGATGTGTCTTGAAACATGCTAATTCTTGACTCTCTCTTTCTAATGGTATGGCCCAATAGCCTTTGAGTAAATCAATGCTGGATATCACTTTGGCTTTTCCAATGTAGAATAAGAGCTCTTTAGGATTTTCCATAGGGAAGTCATCTGGTTTCGTTACTGCATTAAGGGATCTAAAGTCAACGCAAAGGCGAATATTACCGTCTTTCTTCATAACGCATACAATAGGGTACGAAATTTCAGCGTTGGTTTCTTCAATCAATCCCATTGATAACATTTCTTCGATTTGTTTATCTACTTGAGGCTTCAATGCTTCTGGAATTCGATAAACATTTAATCTTATTTTATGTTCTCCTACTTTGGCAATTTGTACCTTATTTATAAATAAGTTTTCATATTTTCTTAACAAGTTCATCATTTCATTCCTTTTATCATCATCTAAATGGCTTAAATCTACTTCGCTAAGATGAAAATGATCGGACTTGTCACTCACACTGGGTGTGGGATGGACTTCTCCTAGTTCTTCTTCGTTCTCAAATATTACACCTACTGCCTGTACTTTTGGATTAAATTTTCGAATTTTATTTACATGTACTCTTCTTATTGTACCATCTGTCAGTCTGACTCTGTAAGAATCTGGATTACAACGAGATACTATTTCTGCAGGTCCTATCCATCTGGCATATAATTTATTACTGGAATCAGCAGGTACACTTGATCTCTAGGGTTGAATTCTTTATATATAGCCCTTCGATTAGCATATCTTGCATATGCACCTTGTTTCAATTCTGCAGTTATAGATGCTTGCTCTGCTGCTATTTCTAAATTCATCTTTAGCTCCTGTAGATAATCAACAGCACTTTTACCCAATTTTATTGGTAATGGAATTTCTCCTGACCATGACGATTTTAATACTGACAACGGACCTCTGGCCTCTCTTCCATACATTAATTTAAATGGGGATACTCCCGTAGTACAATTTGGAATTTCGCGGTAAGCGAATAACAGGTATGGTATATGTTTGTCCCAATTTTTAGAGTCGTTTCTAATGATATGATGAAGCATACGTTTTAGAACTTGGTTATACCGTTCAACTAATCCCGAACTTTGTGGATGTCCTGGTGTTGCAAATCTAGGACTTGCTCCTAATCTGGCATGGAATTCTTGTGTTAATTCTGCAACAAAATTGGTACCTTGATCGCTAGCTATTACCCGAGGTATGCCCGTTCTCATAAAGATTTCTAATAATGCGTCGCATGTTGATTTTGCTGTAATAGTTCTCAAAGGGACAGCTTCTGGCCACCTAGAATGTTGGTCGACTAAACATAGTACATATTTGTGTTTACGTGCTGATGGAGGTTCAATTGGACCGATTATATCTACATTCACTGTGTCAAATGGAAATTCAGGCCTCTGAACTGGAACTATGGGTATACGATCGTTAGTTCTTTCTCTACTTTGTAATTGACATTCCTTACAAGTTTTACAATATTCTTCAATATCTCGTGACATGTTTGGCCAATAAAATGAATAACGAATCCTTTCTTTTGTTTTTCTCATCCCTAAATGATTTGCAAAAATAGATTCGTGAGCTAATTTTAAAATTTGTTCCCTTCTAACTTTAGGTAATACCAATTGACTAACTTGTTCTCCGGAAATTCTTTCAGTATGATAAATCAAGTCATCCATTAAAAAATATTCATTTTTATTTCTTTGCGCGTTTTTATAGATACTGCGTAATGTCTCACATTCCCTTTGCTGTTGTTTAAAAATACTGGCATCTGAATGTTGACCCACCCCACTTTCGTTTTCGCCCTGAATGCAACTTATGACTAAATCTTGCTCTCCTCCTGTCATAAATAAATCAGCGCGGCTTTCGCCTTCGAATTGTTTTGACTGATGACTCCTCGTTTCCGGTATCTGCGATGGAGACACTGTGTCGCAATCACGATTCGCGCTAAGCAGATGAGATTCAGAGGTCAATAAATCATAAACATTTGGAGTAATTACGCAGGGAATATGAAGTTTTTCTGTTAAAGCTACTAATACTTCGACAGGTTTCAATAAATTAGGATTATCAGTATTTTTGATGGATAGAGGAATTCTAGCCACTTTAGCTGATATGGTTTCTCCGAATGCAGAAATTAGGTCAATATTACAGTTGTTCTCAATAGAGAAATTTGATATGTGTTTCGGATTTATAACAGAAATTTCAGCACCTGAATCAATTATGGCTTGGATTTCGTTACCTGCAACGCAAATATTTACTTTTTGCAATGGTTGCGTAAAACTTTCATTTGACAAGCATGAAGATCCGATTTTTGCTATTACTTTATCACTAGTATTTTTCTCTGGTGTTTCTTTTTTTAGAGGAGGGTTTTGTGTTACCGATTTGTTTCTTTGTGGACAAGATTTAGCGAGATGCGTTAATTTTCCACATATGTAACAGTCTTTGGGTGGATATTTATTTTTATTTATGTTGCTTCTCATATGAGGCGGAATATATTTCGATTCTCTTGAAGAGTGGGACGATTTAGCTATGTTTTCATTAGTGTTAAAAGTGGTTTCGTTTAACGATTTGCCTTTGTTTACAAAATACAAGTCAACTTCTTTAGCTAAATCCTTAGGTTTTAACCAATTTTCTCCTGTTTTAATATTAATGTAAGTTGCCGTTTCTTTGTCTAACGTTTGGAAAAGTTTGTCGGAAATCATTAGTTGACAAAGTGCATCAAAGTTATTAACTTCACGTAACTGACAGTAATACTGGAAATTTGCAGACAGTCTAGAAGCGAACTGAACATGTGACTCTTTAGGATCGCGTCGTGCTCTTCGGAAATTCATTAAACATTCATAAGCAGTTGGCTGATATTCTTTTAATACTAGTTTTTTAATGGTTTCATAACATTTTAGTTCTTCATCATTAGTGTAAAATAATATATTAGTTGCCTTATCCCCTAAAATGTTAATCAAAATTTCGGATTTGAGCTCCTGTGGTACATTTTTAGTTATGAATGCTCTCTCTAATGTTTGAAAAAACAAATTGAAATTTTCCGATCTTCCCGGAACAGGAATAGTTAACGTTTTAACACTCTTTATCAAATTTTCTA